CGATGGCTCGAGCTTCCTCAGATTCGAGAATTCAGAGTTAGGATCAGCACCTTTCCAAATTGCAGTTCTTCCCGTTTTGCGTTTGTACATGACAAAAATGCACAGCTAAACATGGAACAAGGATAGCTGAAAAACGATGGCCCACCAGCTTTGCCACTCTACTGGTATGGAAATTACCGTATTGCCCCGGCTGATTCACAGGGTCTGGATTGCATTCGAAAGAGCAGCCGCTTGTACAACGTCGTACGAGCAGTCAGTTCCTGCGCTCAACCACGTTCCCAGACACCTTCGCATGCCGAAACCATGATTCCATTTGGACTGGTACCGATTTCACTTCCAGTTCCATGGCGAAACAGATGCTCATGTATCTAGACAGATCTGACTAGGATGAAGCACAAGATACCTATGCCAATTCGGGGCGAGAATGCTGGAATCCACGACTTGGGAAGATTTGTCTTGCAAAAAGAAGTGGCATCCTGCATGGCTATCAAATCTAAGGATCTAATCCATGAACATGTAAACCGTGGAGGTGAAGTGCATCGGACTGAGACCTTTTCGCCACTTACAATTCACTGTAAGTACCCCGCAAGTAGTTGCCATAGCCCAGGTCATACAGAAGAGAAGTCGAAGCAAAAGGGATGCAAGCGTCTCGAGAGGGCTGACAAAAGCGGAACCTGTCGGAACCTCGGCGCAGGCTGTATCCAGCGATCATATAAGAATTGAGCTCACTCGTCTGGTCCGGGTCGTTGCGGGTCGCTTTCATAAGAGCATCACCGCCTTTTCCCGCGTGGAACTAGTAGCACTTCTCCAAGGAAATGAGTGTAGTACCGACCAGGGCTATCCTCGCCATCTGCACCTACCCGCGAACATGGATTCCTGCCGAGCAGGCCATATCCAGAAATTCGAAGGTGGCATGGTGCATGTCTTCTAGATGGCCTCACTGATCAGTCGTCATACTAGATTGAGTTTGCATAGTTTGTTGAATGCAAGAAACCGGAGTAGTGATTATGGGGAGCCTGAACCAGAAGGTGCACCGGTAATGAGGGCCCATTAGGAAGTTGCACAAGCTAGCGAAATGTTGATTGATCAAAGAGACATGTCATTCATCGGCACTCATGGACAGTATTTCTCCAATTTATGCAAATCTGCTGCGCGTAACGACATGCATAAGGATGTGAAGAGGAGACTGCAGAATCGGATATGGGATTTATACCACGAGCTGAGTTTCTTCCGGCAGGTTTAAGAGGTTGAGTCAAAATGCCATGTACTTAGCAGCTGCACGTAGCCGTTAGTCAAGCTAGGATCGGTTCGCGAACAGCACCGTTGCTAGCTTGTGAGTTAGATGGTGGGATGACGGGTACGCGTCGCTGGAGCAGGCAAAGACGGGTTGGCCGTGATTGGCAGCGACTCTCGCAAGGCGCCGGTGAGGCGCAGAGACCAAAGATATTTGTACACTTTTGATGTGAATGGGTTTCTTTCCGTGTCACTGCTGGCTACGCGGTCGGGAGGGTGGTGGGGGTGTGGTACGGTCTGTTCAATCCATGGCGACGGCTCGGTAATTTATGGTCTCACAGGCCATGCAACGGTCCCATGAAGCTGGGTTTGTGGTGGTACCCCAGATCGGCAACCGGGTAGGGTATCCGCAGGGTGATGGCGGGCTAGGGGCTGTAGAAATCGATGTTGAGATTGTGGCACTGGATGGGCGACATGTCGAAGGTGGCTGCACTAGACGGCCGCGCAGCAAGCACAGGGGTGATGAAGGTGGTGAAGGCAAGGGAAGCAGGCGGCAACACTTTCAGAATCAGGAAGAGGGCGGTCAGCCAAGAGAGGCAGCTGCAGGGCACTGCAAGAGGCAAGAGGCAAGAGCGACGGAGACGGTGGCTACGCGTGTGGTTTGTATAAAATGGCCTAGAGTATTCATCGTCGCCAGCATGGTCAGTCAGTTGCCAATCCTCGACCTGAGGTGAGACACGGTCCCTCTCTTCATCCTTCATCACCGACGGATGAGCAGATTCCGGAGTGGCCATCCTCGACTTGCTTTGACTTGTATGCAGTGGATATTGGGGTGTGACTGAGAAGGAGAGCCAAGGATAGGTATGCCGGAACACATGGGATCCTTGGGGAGGTTCAGTCCTGGACAGATGGCCGGCCAAGTGTGGAGAGATTGGACATGGCTAATGAGAGCATCAGGGAAGCATAACACACACACACACACAGACGTAGGTGTTTGTCGCCGTGGCACCGCGTATCGCCAGTCCTGTTGCTGTCGCAGGCGGGCGTCAGGGTGTCGAGGTGGTAAGGCATCAAGGCCCGAAGGAATACGTACCACTACGTACTGGCCTCCCCACCGCCATAAACAGCGCAACGGCATTGTGTAACAGGCCCAGAGCGACAGACACACGACAGGAAGGAACAGTCCAGCCAGTCCTGCCAGTCCTTTAGCGCGACACGCCAGAAGGTGAGCAGTTCATTTCGCTTCGCTGCCCCGTTCCTGCCCGGCTCCTGCCCCGTTCCTGCCTCGTTCCTGCCTCGTTCCTGCCGCCCCGACTCACAATCCCGGTCGCCCACATGGCTGCCCGGGTTTCTTGTGACGCATCACATTCGTCAATTTACCTGCAACGCTCTCTGCTGCATTTCCACCACATGTTCCGTCCCGTCACATCTGTCACTGCTGTCCTTTTTCGACGGCTGTCACCCTTCTCGCATGGACGGGGGCTCTCTTTCTGGCCACAGCACGGAATCGCGGGCGACAGCCGCACGCCCCCACCACACTCTGCTCTCCACCAAACCAGTCCGCGCGTGGGGCCCCAACCAGGGCCTGTGTGTGAGGGAGACCCTGCACCTATCCACTTCGGCCTATATTCTTCGTCGTAATGCTATCGCAGCTCTTCTCTTGCTCTACACCACCGCTTCACGAGATTAAAGGGCCCCAGTATCGGATTCCCTCACGCTTGACGAGCACATTGTCGTCATGGCCGAGGGCCAACACTATGCCCTCCACCACTCGGCTTTGATGACCCGGCTGACTCGTGGCTTGTCTTCATTTCCTATATCTTTACTATCAACATCGCCTAGTACCACGTCCATGGCGTCACGCTCCATTGACCTTCCTTGCCATTCCTTGCCAGTCATTTCCTGCTTGAAATTACCCACTCAATTTTGCTTGTTGCTCTTTCTGTCCTTCTTTTTTCTCTGATCCCGGCCCCGGCCAAACCCCAGACAATACCCTCTCTCCCACTACAGCAGAGCTAACGCCGGCCTGACTCGATCCCTTTATGAATCTCTACTAAGCGAAACAGTTTCGACCTTCATCAGATGCCAAGGGCCTCACGACGAGGACGAGGTAGACATCACAATTCTAGCCGGGCCATCGCATCCAGGAGAGTCACGTCCAACTCGCCTTCAACATCGCAGTCCCGAACGTCATTGGGCCATACCACTGCACATAACACGGACAGCCACCCGCCACTCAGACGGTCTGCCCGAATCGCCGAATTGCTCAACGGACAATCAGACCGTCAATTGGCCGATACCGCATCCTCAATGGCTGACGTTGCGAGACCAAGGGCGCTTGGGGGAAGGTCCCATCGCCCAGTCCATCACCCTGGAAGTGCGCGCACTTCTGGAAATTCAAGATCAAGTCGACTTTCCCTTTCACCCGACGAAATTCGGTACGCCATGGACATTGTAGTGCAACCCCCGCGCACCGCTCAAGTCGGACAAACCATACCTGGCTCCATCATTGTCCGATTGCGAACCACCAATGCTGACGCCGACGACGCTATTGCAGACTCGACCAACCTCGTCGCAGTCGCCGCTCTGGTTCCTGCTTCCAGTTCGTCAGACTCACCAGACCCCAGCGCTCTCAATACACTGCTCACAGGCCGAATCTTCGACACTGTCCATCCTTTTAGCGACGATGAGGCCGACGGCTTCATTGCTTCAATGGACATGGCCGATCCAAACGGCGTGGGCTACATGCGCTTCCCTGAGCTTATCATCCGTCAAGCGGGTACATACCGCATACGTATCACACTGATCCGCATTCGGAATTCCGCATCAGATCCACCAGTCACATCAGCCGGCAATGGCTTGGCGGTACATGTGGTCGATAGCAACCCTATTGTTGTCAGTGGCGGGGGATCAGCTACAAGTACGGTTTCACGCAATGGTAAGTACATGGTAAATACCTATTGATTTTCTTCAGCTTCCTGATATTCTCTATCCACAATTTACAGGTGGTGACGACATTGATGATGGTGGTTGGCTTGAAGTCCTACGCTCGATCCAGGATAGGCGCCGGTCACGGTAACGCCATTACTTTCGGTTTACATGTTCTCTGTTGCATTCTTTTCTAGTCACATGGATATAAACTTTTGCTTAAGAAGACACATTTGCATTCCGACGCCTCTGTCGGTTCAGTTCATTTTTCTTCTTCATTCTAGCTTCATGTGGAAATGCCACGCGTTTTTTTATGATTCTAGGGGTTGTGTTGTACTGAGGTTGCCACTTGGTCGCACCTACGTTACACGAGATCTGCACATCCGACGCAACACTTGTATCACGGTGCTTGCTCGGCTTGCACGCATGTATTGCATTACACGTCGTTTTGTGTTGTTCATGTTTTGTTATTTGTGTGTCAAGAACATGAACGCATCAATACGTTTTCCATGCTCAATAAACCTGATTCAAAAAGTCGTAAACTAGTGCCAATGAAATGCATAGTCGAAACAGAAAAGAAAATGTGCACAATTCGTTTTCCCAGTGAAGAAGCGTAAATTCATAGCAGATCCAAAATCCAAAATCCAAAAAAAGACAACAACACCAACTATCTACACCTCGAATCTTCACCAAACACCCCCAACACTCCCCCTGCCCCCGTGTCCAGCACATCCGCCTTCACCTTCCTCCCCTGACCCCTTGCCTCGCACTTCCCCCCCAATATCGCTCTTCAATCATGTTAACCTAAAGCACTACCCATCTCGTCAGCAAAAAAAATCCTAAACAAAATCAATCTCAGCATTCGGGCTTCCAATACCAATCGAATCGCCGCCCGTCGCCGTCCCACCACTCGTAGTCTTGCACTCCCTCCACGCGACATGCAACTGATGCGTAAACGCAACCGTAGCATCATCATTACTCATTTCGCCGGCGGCATCGGCATTCTTACTCGTAAGCGCAATACGATTGTTGACGTTGAGAATGCCGTTTGCGCCGCACGGGCTCCAGATGGTGGCGGTGGTCTCGACGGCGTCTTGCTTGGTGTAGACGAGGCCGTTGGCAAAGGCGCCGCCGCCGGACACGGACATGCGTGTTGTTTGCGTCTTGCCCGCGTCCTCGCTGAAGTAGTAGGTCGTGATGAAGGTGCCGTTTACGCCTGCGTCGAGGCGCGCCCAGCCGTGGTACGTGGCGTCGACGACGGCGTATTGGAAGCCGCCCGGGTACCGGAGGTTTAGGTGGATTTGGCAGTTTTTGCTGCGGTCTGAGGGGACGGTGCCCGGGCCGATGTAGGCTTGGAATTTGTCGAAGCCGTAGGTTATGACCTTTAGGGGAGAGGGGGTGTGGTGTTAGTTTTTTGAGGTGGGAAGGGAAGGAGGGGAGAAGTGGGTTTTTGGGAATGTATGTGTGTGTATGGTCAGATGTAAGTGGAAGAAGTGGTTAGGAGCTTACAGTCTTGTCGGCGGACTTGCTGGTGGAGACGGAGCCCTGGGGGCATCCGTTGCCAGAGTAGGTAGTATCCAAGATGGTGATATCATTGGGGTTGGGACCATCGGCTCGCTTGAGTGGTGTCGCCGTGGCGAGCAGAGGGAGGAGGAAAGCAGTGAGTTTGGAATGCATGGCTGCAAAAAAGTTTGTACAGGTCGAACAAGAGAACGATTGTGAAGTGTTGAGGAGAAGTGAAGGACTGGATTGGAATCTCTGCAATGATTTCAACACAAACAAGGGAAAACTACCTCCTCTTTATACTCCTTTCTCTCTCTCTCTCTCTGTTCTTTGCATCAAACGACATACCAGTAGTATATTATCCCGCGGCTTCAGAATTCCACCCTGCTTGTCAGGCAACCCTGCCTTTCTCCCGCTTCCCGCTCGACATCACGAGCTGTGTCAATATGGATGACTAGAGGTCAAGTGTCGGTTTCTGGGCGGGCCGGGTTCAGTTTCCAATTTTAGGTTCAATTCAAGTGGCATCTGTATTAAGACTACCATGTCTTAATCCTCTGCCAAGGTTTACAAGATGCCTTTTAGATTGACTCCTCGATGTCGCTGGCAAACGTGACTGGAGTGGTAGTATATCCACATACGAGCTCCATGACTAAGAGTACGTAGCTGAAGTTGCAAAGCAGAAATCAAGATCTATTCAGATCATGATCAACAATGTTTCTTTTTATTCTAACAACAGTGCAAACGGCATGATAGACTGCGTGGACGAGGTACATTTGGTGGCGAATCTGCAGCAGGACCATTGTCTGGTAGGTGGCGTCCTGCAGCGAGACCCTGGAAACGCGGGAGTGAAGCATTATAGTAAAGATACGAAAAGCTTCAATCGCAGGTAGATTGATTGCATCGCTCCAGAGAAAGCTCTGGACCTGCATCATAGTGTTGTCCCGCTTTCTACAGCGCTTAAAAATAACCTCGGCCGTGTCACGGTAATATAAACGGTTGGCGGTTGGGGAGGGGGGGTACCGAAAAGATTCAGGTCCAAGTCAGGTGATGTGTCCGGGTGCGGTGTATCGAACGAAGCGGGAAGCGGACAATGGAAACAAATGCTTGCAGGGCTTGGCTGCCCGGCTACTACAAAAAGGAAAACACATGTCCCGTACCCCGAGTGGTACTGGAACATTTGTGCTTACAGAACACGGTCTCGAATAGCGCGCGGTAATATCGAAGCAATATGGAACGTCTCGCTTAATTGGGTAAATACCGCCATCTTACCAAAAACCCATGGTTCGACATCTGTCTCCCGATTCAATCTGTGAGGTTTAACCGGGGTCTGGCTGTCAATCGTTTGTGCTTATTCTTCCCCACCCTTGCACATTGTTTCCCCACTTAAACTTCCCATATTCAATCTGTTTGTCTGGAGAAAACTCCCTGGTCAAACGACTTTTCGTCCCCTTTCCAATTTCCCCTGCGATATGAAGCGACATTAATCGAACCACTGTTGCGATTCGTTTCGACTCAGCCCTAAGCTTCTCGACCATATTTGTTTGTTTCCGGGTAATTCGAGATACGAAGTTTATACAGTTTCACGTCACAGCCGCGCTATACGACCGGATGATCTTGAGTAAGAGATATAACGTAATAGTCGGTGAGCGGAGGATACTTTGTGCGGTTGGAGCAAATATGGAGCGGATTTTGGTGCAGCTCAACCAGAATTCAGATATTAAAGGCGGTTTCCTGCCATGGCGAACGTAGCCGAGGCATTGGTCAGAACGGAGGTGTTATACACAGTGGAGTCTGGAGGTAGCTCCAAATACCAGGTGAGTGCCAAGGCACTATACCCGTTTGTGGATACCAGAAAGACTCCCGTATGCGCATCTGAACAATGATTGTCAAGCATATCATTGATGACTGGGACTAAGACTGGAAATAGATCATGATCTCTTGCACAGCAAATCCCATAACGCTCTGGAAGCAAGCACCTCTGGAAGCGAGCAAGATCCCGAGTATGGTCATATCGTCAGCCATTGCGAAAAAAAAACACATCAGAAGACATCCAGCCACACACTAGCAGAGGAGGGGTGGAAAGGTTTATATATGCTTTCCCCCCCAACACGTAGCTCAGCACTGCTAAAATCGCATACGTAGCCTCACGGCGCGAAGCCCAAAACTCTCTGCGGGTACAGCGGCATGTCGTAAGCAAGCGTGAGCTATAAAAAGATCCAAGAGCAAAATAAAGCTTGCGCCGCTCCCCTCACGTTACGGGTAGTAGTACGGCGAGTACCCTCTAACAGACATGTACCGGACGGCGCGCGAAAAGATGACAGGCCCAGCCACTCGGCGAGTACTGGACATGCTCAGTCCGATGTTAGTAGGGACGGACTGATGCTGGGGTTGACGCAACGATATCGACGACTTAATGCTGACAACAACGACGACGGCGCTAAGAGTACCGGAAGTCGAGTTTAGTCGCTCAAGTGCAGAGTACATGCTATTGAACTCTGATTTTTTTCCGGCTAGCTTGGTAATGTAGATGTTAAGTAGAACAGCGCTTGAAGACACATCATAGTCTCCACAGCAAGCCATACCGGTAGCTACACAGGTGACCACATAGGTAAGCCGCGAATACCACAAGGCGCCCCCCTCCCCCTTTACAAGCCAAGCAGTACCAAAAAAGGTGTCCTTGTGGAGCAGGCGTCCATGCGTCATCTGAGCGCTCTCCACACGTGTAATCGCGATCTGGGACGGGAAGAGATGCAGGGGCCCAGAACAACAAGGGGGGGGTCAGGCGCAGGTGAACATGCAAACAAGATTTGAAATCAGGGCCGGTGAAGCATGCTCTCTCTCTCTCTCTCTAGGCGTGCGTGTGGGTTGAACGAGGCTCAGCAAGTATGTCTTGCATGCACGTTGGAGAGATAAAAAACGTCTTGGTCAAGGGAAGGCCTGGGCGGATCTCGGCCGGTCGGACGAGTGTACTCGCCTACTAACGTGACTTGGAACAGATAAGAGGAAGAAAAACCTCTTGCGGACTATTTTACTCCTGGAGCTATGCCGCATTGTGCTTTTCGTATTTCTGATCATGAACCGCTGGTTTGGGTATGGTGCATCACTACTTCGGTCTCGGACTTTCTTGCGAGAATTTTTTTTGCAGCAGTAGTAGTAGTTATTGGTTCAAATTTTGCAAGTCTTCTTTCGTGCCGGTGATGCCAAGGTGATGCCACGGCGCGAAACGAATAGTTCATACGGATAGTTAGCAATTTGGGTGAGTGTGGTTGTGAACTTTGACTGTGCGAAAATGGTAGTGCATTATGGGAATATTTGGAAGTGTGGCTGGCGCGAAGATGTAGACTGACATGTAGCCACAAGCCACAGAGCGCATAGGCGAAGAGGAGACAATAAAGCATGGACGGGCGGATAACCGTTAGCCGACGAGGACGACAAGAGGGAAGCCGTTGTCATTGTTGTGGTGATGATGATGATAAAGGGGGGCGATGAGGCTGAAGCATGCCATGTGGGGCTAGTACCACCTAGTGGGATCGACCGAGCCGTTAGCGTCCGACTTATGAGAGACCCAACTGACCCACTCAATGATTTCTTCGCCAGCCCCTTGGGTCGGACCTTGACCGGTGATAGTAAAAATACCGCTCACCGGTGGCCTTGCGAACGCACGATGATGCTTTAATCGAGGACGTTGTGCGGCTGATCTGCCGCAATCATCCGTAGAACTGGACGCAAATCAAGCAGGGTAAACTTCCATCGCACCCGAATCCGAGGTACAACTCGGCACTCAACATCGGCTCGGCAATGCCAATTATGCACAAGAACACCGGATCTGGAAGAGAACCATGGTACACGCTGACGCCCATGCATGACTTTGCCAACGCCCCGTTGGGGACGTTGTTCGGAGTACCTCGGACGCTCAGGATTTGCTGCGACTAGAATTAGCGAAGGGCCAGCCAGCCTGCTCTTGCACAAACACACGGACACGGTCTTGGGAGTTTGACTCCAGCCACTTCGCTTTCGCTCCGTGTTCTTGCATTGCCACAGTTGGGAGAAACAGTCTAGTGTTTAGCAGCGAGCCCACCCTACCATGTGATCGAAAAAGGTTCAAGTTGACTATTCCTTCCCGTCACATCCAGGTGTAAATCGCGGCTCGGCGTCGCAGGGTCCCTCGGCTTTGCCGTATTGTGTACATGTCCGCTCAAGACGAGGCTTGGCCAAAGCAAACATTGTGGGGAATGAAACGCTCCGGTTCCTTCGACCGTATTCGATATCGTATTTTGCACATCTCTGTGGCCATGCTCTCTTGCGGCATTGTCTTTGGCGAGGTGGGGATAGGCGAGTGAGAAGAAGACTGGCCCAGGCCAGTCTAAAAGGCTTATCATTGCTCAAACGTTAGTGCGAACGCTGCATCCGTAATGGGCTGGTCGAGCACCCGTCGTAGGCAAGTACATGTTTGTACCCCTGGAGGAGACTATCGAAGTAGTAAACAGCGGGCTGTAAGCTAGTCCGTCTGGGCCAAGCTGCACTCCCAAAAAAGCCAGCCCGACGGTCAAAAATAGCTAGCGTTTTCGTTCAATGACTCAATTGGCCCACGTCGCGAGGGAATCAGGAGAAACACCTCTGTAAACACCAGGGATGACAGCAGGCGGTGGTGGGGAACCAGGTTGTTTTGCGATGCAGTGCTAGGGTATTGGGTCTGATAATTTTCTTATCGCGCGCCTCTTTCCAGGCTCCCTGTCAACGCTCACGAGGCCTCCTTTCCCTCGAAAACTAGAATGAATGAACGTACCAATTGCTAGTATATGGCGGAGAATGATCTAAATGGCGACGTCCACAGCTTCTGATTGGTGATGATGCTTCGGGTAGCTGCGTGTGCCTGAGAAAACGACCGGCGACTACAGGTATGACAATTCATCCGGGACTAAGATAAGGTTTAGTGGACTAGTGCCCTCAGGTACAGCCGCCGAACTCTGCCACCAGAAGAACCGAGCTAACTGACCATGCTTGTGGCGCTTCCCATGACATCGATCTCGAATCAGTCAGTAGTTGTGAAGCGAGAAGAGAGCACTGAGCGATGCCCTTGTTGTATAAAAGAACGTCTGCCACACGGCACATCATCTCATCATCAGCACTGGTCTTCACCACCTTCCAATCGCTTCTACCTTTTGATACACTCG